AGACTGGCTAACTCCCCTTTTCGATTCCACTTTGAGTGGACTAGGGAAACTTCACACTGCGGTGACTTCTTCGCTATCACATCACGTACAGAAAGACCGTACAGAAAGTGAAAAGCAATGCATCTGCCGTGTTTCACGCCGTTTTATTGTGTTGTGTTCCTTTCATTGTTTACTGTACTCTTAGATCAATTTAACCTTCCAGCTAAAATGGTCACGATATCTTGCAGAAGATTTCACGATCCTGTCATAGTTGTTTAATTTTTCGAAATAGAAGGAACTTACTTGTAAAAAGGTAAATAGTCATAATGTTCATAAGAATAGCCGCCATTAGTGAAATACTCGCAGAGCACTGGTTATTTGAAAGCTGAATCAGCGCCAAAATTGCATATCCGATTACCCCGTAGAAGGCGTTTTTCTGAAAGATGAATTGTTTGGCTTTGAATATAACATAAACTAAAAGTGCTGAAGGTACCTGATTGAAAGGACTGTCCTCTCCAAGCAGTGGTCCTACAATGCCAAAACCTGAACCATACTTGGAAGTCAGTACCCTGGTGCAAGAAACCAGCGACGAGACATCGCACATTGCCGAATATTCGTGATCCATCTCGAAGCGAATTTCAACGTACAACCCTACACAAACCCAATGATGCGCAATTTATGGGCAGACAATTACCACCAAATGCAAAGAGATGCGTACCATACAGAGAGACGATTAGACCAGCAAGAAGTGTATAAAGTGCTCGTCTAGTTGCGACTGCTGCCTCGTTTGTCCATTTAGACGCCGACACTGCCATCTAAATGTGTTTAGTTAAAACTTCACATCTTGTGGTGGCCTTTTTCGAAGCGAAACACGATCAGCGTGGGAAAAGGGGCTTATCAGTAGCTCACGACCAACCATCCGCCACATGTTTTTGTTGCGCGTTTCAGCAACCATAGTAGCAGTCTGAACTGCAAGATAAAAGATCAACGCAGCAATGCACGAAAGCTTTGTAATGCTGCAATTAGTCAGGTTCTCGTAAAATTCTAGTAAAAGACAAGTCAACCGTTCTTTTTTCTTGATCACAGTTTGATTAACATTGTTTATGTTATCAGTCAACCTTTCAAAAATGGCGAAATAAAATACCCTTTCAAAAAACGAGAAAGTGTCGGGTGCAGACCATACACCACAAGTGACGACGGCCTCCAAGTAAATCTGGTTAGTAGTGGTTCATAGTGATAGCTGATTTTTGGTAAATGATAGTTGTAATTAGTGACAACTGATAGAATACAACTGCAACAGGCTAATCATTTCATTGGCAGAAAACATTTACATTTTGTGGAGGCCGTCGTCACTTGTGGTGTATGGTCTGCACCCGACTCTTCTCGTTTTGAAAGGGAGTATAGATTAAGATGATCCACGGACGACATAAAACTTATCAAGCTCAGGTCAAGACCGCCGAGGAACGGCGCACCCACTGCGAAAGTGTGGTGTGACACAACTGTTCACGGCGCGAGCAGCGAAGCGCTCTGTGTTGCAAATGTGCGTTATTTAAGAATTAATCGTGGTTGCTGCCTAGCCTAAGAAGGGAACTCGACGCTACCGCAGTTGAGGGGAAGATCAATCTTCAAGTTGAGAATATCTTTGGACTTTCATCCTCCACTTGACCTCTCTCCCCATTCACACTGTTGTCTGTAGTGTCGTTTCGAATCTTGGCTCTGCCGACTGATTCGAAATCTTCTCCACAATACGAACTCTCTCGAATCTGTGGGTGAGGTGTTTAGCTGGTGTCAGAGTCCGCGAATCCCCTCTTGCTTCGCGTATTTCCGTCGATTTGCGCGATTTGTACGAATTTGCGTCATTTCGCGAGTTGCCGCGATTTTGGAACAGGAAGTTGGAAGTGCCCGATGAATACTGCGAGGTGTTGTTTAATCCTGCTGCGAATTCTGCTTGGCAGTAAAGATTGGAAGACGAATGTTTGTGGTTCTACTTGTTTCATGTTCAATGTCTATTAGTTCATTGAAATGCTCTTGAATCGTTCCTATTTTTTTTCAGGAATCAAACCAAAAGCATCTCCATTAAACCATAACCATCAAGCAGAAGTGACGGCGGGATTGGAGAACACCTTGCAGTATGGATGGGGCACTTGTAATTTCCGTGACCCGTCGCGCAAATCGCGAAAATCGCGAAAATCGCGAAAATCGCGCAAAGGATCGCGGACTCTGACCACCAGCCTACCCTGCCCCGACCCCGCCCTTCCCCTCCATGTCCCCTTCTCCGGCTGACAGATCTAATTTACCTCCCAATATCCCAATTTCTCTAAGTTACCCAATATCCCAATTTTACTCTAATATTATCACATCTTCGCTAAAAGCGCAAAACAAGTCATGCTGTCAAAAAAAATGTTCAATGATTCCTCTCCAGGAAGGGTATGGGGAATGTGTTATGTTATGTTATTGTGACGCGTAATAACTTTATAAGTTATTTGGAGGGGATGGGATATTTAGGGGGGAGGAATAAAAACGATTCGAAAAGATTTGAGTGCTTTCTATGCTGCTACATTACCATGTTCAAATGAATTCGTACGACTTTCGAGATGTGAGAGCATTGGAAGAGGATATATTGTTACGTATAATCATACAAAATTCTTTCATCACATTTTAGTTTCCACACATGGCGACATCAGATAGTGTGGGTCAAACGCCTGAGGTGAACCTGTTATGGCAGCACAACCGACGCCTTCTATTCGACAGTTTGGATGCTCTCGAGGGCGAAAAGACCATTGTGTGGGATAGAAGTCTTATGCAAAGAGTCAACCTGGTAGGTAGATGTTCAGTGGAATTCTTTCCAAATGAATAATCTCAGAAAAGGGCATAAGTATGGTCACGTAATGGAGCTTCAATAAGCTAGCTTATTGTTAGTTACGCAACAATGAGTCAGTTTCTTGACAAAATTTTGAATTCTTATTAGTTTCTTGCATGTGATTTCTTCGTTTTTTCTTCGTTTGTGGCTTTATGAAATCTATTCTGTAAATCTTTTCATCTCGTGTGGCACGCTCACACAGGCCTGTCCAGCTCGTGCTGAGATTCACCACTTTTTTTTTTACATCGTCGGACTGCATGTCTAACCTTCAAGAGCAACACTCGACGATCTCTTCGTCGTAGAAGTAGACCGATTACGGGGGTCTACGGGAAATGAACCCGGTCTTTTGGAAAGCATAGATGTGCTGCACTCTTCTACGCCCTCTCGCCTAAACTGCGATTCAAGACTATAGTGACCTCGTACGCTAAAACTTTTGGAGCACGAAGAGTGGTGTACGTTCTTTCCCCTCCCTCCTGTGGTAGGCACCGTCCTCTAACCGTCTGCGCTCCGTCTTTTACGACAGAGAACATAGGGAAAGGCTCCAGTTGCCACGTGATCAGTTATGAGGTAAGAGTCGTTAGGAAGGAGCGCGGTGTGGCTTCTTCTAGTCGGTGCGGCAGTCCTGCATCACTGAGCTCGTGTTCCCTCAGCGAACACAGCGAGACAGGCGAAACGCGCGACAGAACCAGCATATTTGCGGTATTATTAGCGCTACGTAGGTGAAATTGTGGCGAACGGGGGCTCCCCCACTTTCTTCACGATTTGGGGCGCGGCCGCGGCAAACCCGGCCGAGTATGCGCCATCAGCTTACCTGAGTATTCGAGCTTATCGCGATACGTAATGTAACGTCGAATAGTCAGGTG